TTCCCGAGGACGTAATAATGGCGGATACCACGGAGACGTTCAAGCAAAGACTCGATGCATATTTGCTTGGACACTATCGCTTGTCTGAACAGAACAGCTCTGTGGTGCTAAACCAACGCCTTGCATACTCATACCGCTAATGCGGATGACTGTCATTACATTTTACTGAAATCATCTACAACTGAATGTTCTCAAGTTTTGGTTCTACATTTTCATGGAAAATATTCTGTTAAATGTGTATACTACTGACAACATTTCAGTACCATGATTATGTAAAGTGAGATATTGCATGTACCGTTTACAATAGGGTTTTCAAAGGCATTGCCTATTACTCTTAAAATATACTGAACTATTGCCCTTATACCTGTACTCTCTAAATGGAGTTTTCAGGGCTTCTGTCGTTTACTCCAAATTTACTGACTGATACTGACTGACTGACTGATAAACAACTATATTAGGTCAGTAGTCTGGAACCCATATCTTCTAACAACATCCCCTATGGAAGCAGTTAACCCATTATACTCTGTCCTATTTATACTTCGAGATATCTTGATAGACGAAAGATTGCCTTATAAGAAATGACTAACCCCACACTTCCTTTCAACTAAACTAAGAAAAACTGCAAAAACAGCTACACAACCCCTCTGTGAGTTATTTATCCACGCTTCGACGAATTAGGGAAAGTTACGACCTAGGTACGAAAATGGAAACAAAAAAGGCCATAGCAGTAGAACATCAGGCACTAGAATCCCCTGAACGAACAGTTCAGATGTTTCAGAAACAAATGAATAATCATCGACAGTCAGCATCACAAACTATTATTGGTGAATAGGTCGATCTTGCTCTCCTCTTACATATTAACGACTTATCGTCCATAGCAGTATCAGCTAAGACGTTTTTATATGCGGACGACCTGAAACTTGCATATGCATATAACGGGAATACAGTAGCCGATATTCACAGGACAATGGAAAGCGATCTCAGAAAACTCAGCGAATGTAGCAGTCAATGGCAGATGTCATCTTCGCCCGAAAAATGCCATCTCCTGATCTTTGGCCCACAAAAACTTCCCGCCACAATATTAGAGGACAATGAAATAACGGAGGCCCAGTCGGTAAAATATTTAGGTCTCAGCTATACAAATATCCTTGATTTATCTCCCCACGTCCAACAAATATCACCGAAAGCCACTCGCCTGTGTGGACTCATATGTAAAAAAATTCCCTACATGCACTAAGAATATAACTTTTCAAAATGTACGTTTTACCTCTTCTAGGTTATTGCTCAATTTTCTTCGGTATACTTTCTTCAGACGACTGAAAGAAATTAGAAGGTACTCAGAGACGTTTTACTAGATCTTTGCCCAGAAGTGACGACATTCAGGGTTCATGCTTAGAACTATATCATAAATACGGTCTTCGACCCATATGGATAAAAAGTCTCCAAAATGGTCTATTCAAGGTCACCCATGACCGAGATATTCTCAAAATGAATTTACTAACAAACCAAAACGCCCCCATAAGTACCAGAAATAACGAAGATATTATGATGATCCCCAAATTCACAAAGTCCCAACGGTCAACTTTGTAATCCACAAGATATGTGACTATCTGTGATGCTCTTCCGCTCTCACCCCGCCCCTACAATGACTGCTATTACCCACCCCACCCACCCCCCACATTCCCATACCCCGCCCGTGTTTTAAGTAGAACTTTTATCGATTTTTCTTATCGCTGACGTGTTTTTCTTCTACCCCGTTCCCATATAATTGTACTGGCCCGACGAGAATTTATCGAAAGCTACGTATGCTCGCCAACTCGTCTTCTGATTACTGCTATGGGAATTTTCGCAACTCTAAAGACAGCATCATTGACAAACATGGAACAGATAGTGATATTCTTTCTCTTCCCCTTTTCTCGTTTCCATCAGCTATGTTACCTGACACTAACTAATAATAATTTGTATTAAAGACCCGTCGGGATCCCATCAAAGCAAGTAAAAATAAATTTACATGCGAATGTTAGAGGAGGTAGGCAAAATCTGTGCAAAGTGCAATTCATAGTTTTTGAATTAGTAGTCCGTTAAGAAAAATGATTAGCGAGGAGTGAAAAAAAACTCCACATAAATATTAAAAATGATTGGATTAATTTTACAGGAGAAAAAAAACCCTCGCAAAAATAGAATTAGAAAAATGCGAGCAGGACTGGCCTGCATGTGGCGGTATATAATGGCTTATAATCGGACATCGTCAGGGCCGAAATATATGTCAGCTGTATATGGCATTGTATAACGGATTTCATGAAAGGGTAAGTAGGCGGGTCGGTCAGGACTGGCCTGTATGTGTGTTGGGATTGCCTACACTCCCAAAAACAAGAGCAAACCAATCACTGGAGATCACGTGCGTTTGCTCTCTCTCTACCGCGCTTTCCCATTGGCTACTCCCCTCTTCCCGAAGGTCATTGGACCGAGTGCCGGCGAACCACACTAGCGTGTGATAAATATGCGTCACCCTTAGCTAGACGTGACTTGCAGTGTTTTCCTAATACACTTTCCGTGGCCAGCCGTGTTCTTTGTCTGCTGCCTTGATATTGGAGACCAGGGTCGAGTGCGTATACGCGCCACGGGATTTCACGTACAAGGCGGGTCATAACAAATTGGCGACGCAGTTTTTCAACTACGATGGCTGACGAGTACGCAGACTTGAAGCAGATGTTGCAGCAGCAGCTGAAGCTAATGGAGGCACTCACCGTTAAGCTGTCCGACTCGTCCATGGGTCAATCAGGCACGGCAGGTGGTTCGCAATCTGTTGATCACATTGCCGGCAGCATCACTGAATTCTTGTATGACCCGCAGGCCCATATCACCTTTGATTCCTGGTACAAGCGATACGAGGACTTGTTCTCTGTCGATCTGGCTGCCCAGGACGATGCATGGAAGGTCCGACTTCTACTTCGCAAACTGGGTCCGGCTGAACACGAGCGTTATGCCAACTTCATCCTCCCCAAGAATCCCCGAGAAGTCACTTTCAAGGACACGGTTCAGACGTTGTCGCAGATTTTTGGTGAGCAATCATCCCTCTTCAACACACGATTTCAGTGCTTGCAACTGTGTAAACGAGATTCCGATGATTTCATCACGTATGCGGGAATTATCAATCGTGAGTGTGGGCGTTTCCAACTCGGTTCTCTCACTGAAGACCAGTTTAAATGCCTTATATTTATCTGCGGCCTCCAGTCACCCAAGGATGCTGATATCCGGACACGTCTCCTGTCCAAAGTGCAGCAGAACAACTCTACCACACTCCAAGAGCTGGCAGCAGAGTGCCAAACGCTGATCAATCTCAAGCACGACTCTGCAATGATTCAGAACCCGGCCTCATCTTTCTCAGTCCCTACGGTGACATCGACCAAATCGCATCCTGTTACACGGCCCAAGCAAGTGTCCAAGCCGAGATCTCCGCCATCTCCTTGTCGGCACTTTGGCGCGTGGCATTTCCACCGGGATTGCACTTTCCGCCAGCATCGCTGCCAAAGTTGTAATCAGGTGGGACACCGTGATGGGTTCTGCAAATCAGTACCAGCTTCTGGAGGCAAGCCAGCCCCCGCCACTCCTAATTCCAGGCACCGTTTCCGGTCAAAACGCAAGCCCAAACCCCAGTCCGTGGGTAATTCTCTCAGTCTCTTGGCCGCTTTCCAGCTCGATGCGTCTGGTCGTAGAAAGTTTGTTGACGTTTTGCTCAATGGCCATGCAGTTCGTCTACAGTTGATACTGCCTCAGATATCACCATCATCTCTGAGAGGCTCTGGCAGTCCCTTGGCAGCCCAACGATGCAGCAGACTTCCCATTCCGCCACAAGCGCGTGCGGTGGTCTCGTACAGCTAATTAGGCAGCTGCAATGCTGTGTGCCGTTCCGCGGTACCAGCATCACTGCGATCTGCTACATCCCCAAGTCTGATCTAAACCTACTTGGTCTCGACTGGATTGAACAACTTGGGTTGGCCGATATGCCGCTACGCATTGTTTGCAGTCAGGTGCAGATTCCCGCTGTGCTTGCAGACCAAGCCAAGGACATTCTCCAACGGTTTGCTCCAGTGTTCCAAGACGGCCTGGGTCGTTGCACATACACTCAAGCCGTGCTACATCTGTCTCCTGGAAGTCAACCAGTCTTCCATCCAAAGCGACCAGTCCCATATGCAGCCCTACTACTTGTCGAGGCTGAACTGAAACGTCTACAGGATTTGGGAGTTCTGGTTCCTGTATCCTACTCCGCCTGGGCCGCTCCAATCGTTGTGGTTAAGAAGCCCAATGGCTCGGTTCGCATTTGTGCTGACTTCTCCACCGGTCTCAATGCCGCACTGACGCCAAACTGCTATCCATTACCGGTTCCGGCTGATATTTTCATCCTGCTAAATGGTGGCACTTGCTTTGCCAAGTTGGATCTTGCTGATGCGTATCTGCAGATCGAGGTCGCCCCAGAGTCGCACGAATTGTTGACCATCAACACCCACCGCGGTCTGTTCCAATACACCAGGCTGCCCTTTGTTATCAAGACCGCCCCGGCCCTATTCCAACAAACGATGAACGCAATGCTCTCCGGTATCCCTGGCACAGCTGGGCACCTGGACGACATCATCATCGTGGGTCGCTCCCCTGCCGAGCTGCAAGACCGAGTGTGCGCAGTACTCGAACGCGTGCAGGAATATGGCTTTCGCCTACGGGCCGACAAGTGCCAATTCTTCCTCGACTCCATCAAGTACCTTGGATTCGTTTTTGACGTCAATGGTCGCCATCCAAATCCTGAAAACATTCGGACCATCCAACGGATGCCTGCCCTCAAGAATGTATCGCAACTTCGTTCGTTCCTTGGCCTGATCAGCTACTATAGCGCCTTCCTACCATCGCTGCATGACGTACGGGCCCCGCTCAACCGTCTGTTGCAGAAGGATGCTCCCTGGTGCTAGTCCCCCGACTGTGAAAAGGCCTTCGCCCAGCTAAAGTCGATGCTGAGTTCAGATCTGCTGCTCACGCACTACGACCTGACGCTGCCGATCGTTGTTGCTGCAGATGCTTCCAACCACGGAGTTGGTGCCGTCATCTCACATACATTTCCTGGTGGATCTGAAAAGGCGATCATGCATGCATCTCGCACGCTAACCCCTGCGGAGAAGAACTACGGGCAAATAGAGAAAGAGGCTCTAGCCCTCGTGTTTGCCGTCAAGAAATTTCACAAACTGTTGTACGGTCGCCACTTCGCGTTGTTGACGGATCACAAACCATTGCTGTCAATCTTCGGTTCGAAGAAGGGCATTCCCGTCTACTCAGCCAGCCGACTTCAGCGATGGACAACCATCCTTCTTGGCTACGATTTCGACATTCGCTACTGTCGTACTACAGACTTTGCTCAGGCTGACGCGCATTCTCGCCTCATCAGCAATCAGCAGGAACCGGAGGAAGATACCGTGATTGCAGCTTTTTCGATTGAGGACGATGTGCGCCGTCAGCTATCAGACGCCATACGTGGTATCCCTGGCACTGCCGCGGACATCCGACGTGCTACTGAACAGGATCCTGTCCTCCGTCAGGCCATAGCCTACGTGCAGACCTGCTGGCCAACCACTGCTCTCGCTGGCGATCTTCGCCAGCTCTTCCTCCGCCGAGCATCGCTATCTGTGGTTGACTCCTGCCTCATGTTTGCAGACCGTGTGGTGATCCCATCTTCTCTCCGACCCACTGTACTACGCCAGTTCCATGCGGCTCATCCTGGTAACAGCCGAATGAAGTTTATTGCCCGCAGTTTTGCCTACTGGCCGGGTATCGACGGCGGCATCGACGACCTGGTTCGACGCTGTTCTCGATGTCAGCAAGCTGCCAAGATGCCACCTCGGCAACCGCCAGTACCCTGGGAACCACCAGAGAGGCCTTGGTCACGCGTGCACATCGACTTCGCTGGCCCACTTAACGGAGTCTCCTACCTAATCTTGGTTGACGCCTACTCGAAATGGCCTGAGATTGCTCCGCTAAACCCAGCAACCGCATCTTCCACTATCGCCTTCCTACGACGCATCTTTAGCCAACATGGCTTACCAGAAGTCCTTGTTTCAGATAATGGCTCTCAGTTTACTTCGTCGTCGTTTGAGGATTTCTGCCGCCAGCACAACGTCCAGCATCTTCGCTCCCCTCCCTACCATCCTCAGTCTAACGGTCAGGGGGAGCGTTTTGTCGACACGTTTAAGAGAGCCCTCTTGAAAGCTCGTGGGGAGGGGACCACGGACGAGATAGTCCAGGCGTTCCTGTTTTCCTACAGGACGACACCGAACCCGGCGTCCCCTGGTGGCGTTTCTCCTGCCGAAGCGTTGATGGGCCGAAAACTGCGTACAACGTTTTCATGCCCTCGTCCCTACCGGTGCGCAGCCCGCACAGACTTCTCCAGTCTCTCGCAGCAAGCTCTCCATCGGAACACCTGTCTTCGTTCGTGATTATCGAGCGGAGTTCCCTGACTGGATTGAAGCAACCGTAGTAACGCACAGAGGCAGTATGTTGTTTGACGTCGACGTTGGTGATGACATCTGGGTTCGTCACCACAACCAGATCCGACGGCGACATTGCAGTAACACAACTAGGCACGAGTCGGCGCCGTCACTCCCCCTTGACATCCTACTGGATACCTTCGCCATTCCGGCAGATCGGTCGGTTCCCGAGCCCATTGCTGCGCCTCCTTCGGATGTACCGCCTTCGGTATCAGTCACTGCTCCCGGGTCTCCAGACAACAAACCACAACTAAGACGCCGGACGAACCGCGTTCGCCGATCAACACTGCCGATGCAGATCAATCCACGCCAAAAGCGGTACTGACCTACTTGGAGGGGGGGTGTTGGGAGTGCCTACACTCCCAAAAACAAGAGCAAACCAATCACTGGAGATCACGTGCGTTTTGCTCTCTCTCAACCGCGCTGTCATCTCAATCAGGCGCTTTCCCATTGGCTACTCCCCTCTTCCCGAAGGTCATTGGACCGAGTGCCGGCGAACCACACTAGCGTGTGATAAATATGCGTCACCCTTAGCTAGACGTGACTTGCAGTGTTTTCCTAATACACTTTCCGTGGCCAGCCGTGTTCTTTGTCTGCTGCCTTGATATTGGGGACCAGGGTCGAGTGCGTATACGCGCCACGGGATTTCACGTACCAGGCGGGTCATAACAATGTGGCCTTGAATAAGGCAAATAAATGGCGAAATTGAAAACCAGTCTCGAGGTGATAGGAACCCAGATGCGGTCGGTTACATTCATCCGAGTCCATCCGAGGAGGGGGCAAGAGAGATGCGACCAGACCACTAGTATATGGCGACTACAGAAGGCTTCACCAAGAGCGTCGATGGAGCGCATTCTGTGAGGCACGATGCATAAAATCGTCTGGGCCGGATTGATACATCGGATGAGACTATTCCCGTCCAAGAGGCCAGACGAGAAGAACCCAGACGCGATCGGCCACAGTACGCTTCCAGCTAAGCCGAGGAGTGGGGAAGGGAGGTACGGACAAACTACTGGTAGACAGCGAATACTGAGGGTTCCGCCGTGAGCGTCGACAGACCGCATGAGGTCGAACTGCGGAAGATGACATGAAGAACCGCGAAAATCGTCGTTATGGAGGAGGAGTGATAGAAGTGGATTTGGAAATCAATTCAAAACAGGGGTTTCTAATGATATAATTGAGGGTTACCACTCCATCTACCACTAAATCCCAGGAGGACCCACCTCAACGTTAAGAAGCTGAGTATTCGGGACTGAGACCGTTAACAGTGCCTTTATGCTTTCCGGTGTAATGTGTTTGCGTAATTTCGACTTGAATACCAGTAACGTAGGCGACGATCTAATTTCTGACGGAATATTATTCCAAAGGAAGGCATACTTGGAAGCAAAGAAGAGGGAGAACTTAGTATGTATGTATGTATATTGAAGGGTTACAGGCAGAGCCCTTGATGACCCTATTTATGTACAGTGCTTTCGCAGATTCATACGCAAAAATAAAATAAAATTGCAGGCATTTAAAATGTGATTGGGTCACAGTTCAATCGTAATCATAAGGTAGTGCATGGGGTCACTGTAAATTAGTGCGGAAGATTGTATATGACAGATTTTACAAAACTGGCTGTGCATAGTCATGCTGTACAAGCCGATTTCTGTCGAAAACTAGACGAGCAAGTTTTCTTTTAAACACACAAACTGTGTCAGCCGTCACCATCTCGCTTGGAAGCGAGTTCCACGGCCTGACAACCCGCTGGCTGAAAGAAAATTTTCGTCGGTCTAAACGTGTTCTCTCATTCCCGACTTTGAATGCATGGCCGCGTAGTTGGTTTGTACGGGCGAACTCAAAGAAGTCCTCTGCTCTTAATGAGCAACCCTGGCCGCAAACAATCCGGAACGTCCAGAGTAGACTGAAGTTTATTTGTCTATAAGAGAGAGGGAATAGGCCAAGCAAATCTAGCCTCTCCTGATAAGACAAATGCTTTAGACCGTCGACCATCTTTGTCGCTCTGCGTTGCACCTGTTCGAGTAAGTTGATATCCTTCCTCATCCATGGTGAAGCTGCTGGCATTCCATACTCTAGATGAGGTCTTACAAAGACACCAAAGAGTCTTTCGAAGAGTTCGGGAGGAAATATTTTAAATGCACGTCTGATCCAGTGTAGAGTACTAGTTGCCTTCTGGACCATCTTTCTGCAGTGTTCTGATGGCGATAGATTTGTGGTCGTCCATACACCCAGATCTCTGTGTCTTTCAACAGTTTCTAACCTCGTCCCGTCAATATAGTACTGGTGTTTGGGAGAGGCATTGCGGCCCGTGTTCAGGTGCAAAACCGCGCATTTGGGCACGTTAAACTTCAAAAGCCATCTGTTCGACCAAGCACACAGTTTGTTGATGTTCGACTGCAACTTCTCTGCGTCATCATCACACTTGACTTCACTCCATATTTTAATGTCGTCCGCGAATATGAGAGCCTCGTAATTCACTTCGCTGATGCAGTCATTAACATAAATCAGGAAGAGTACTGGGCCTAAGACAGAACCCTGTGGGACACCATTTTCCACCTTTACCCATTCCGAAGCAGAATTAATAACGACGACTCTTTGTAGTCTGAAGGACAGAAAACTCCTGATCCACTTAAACATTCTCCCTTGAATCCCTACATCCCAGATCTTTTGCAAAAGAAGCCTGTGTGGGACACTGTCAAAGGCCTTCTTGAAGTCAAAAAATATGACATCTACAGGAAAACCCTTATCGGTAGCTCGTGTCCATTTCTCGTGTGAGTAAAGAACACTCGTTAAGCAGGTGCGCCCTGGACGAAAGCCGTGTTGGGCATCGCACAATATTTTGTTCTGTTCCAGGTATTTCATCAAGTGTCTTTTGATAATGCGTCCCATTATTTTACACGCGATGCAAGTAAGACTGACGGGACGATTATTTCCACAGTCAAGTCTTGAGCCTCCTTTATGGATCGGAGTAATCAGTGCAAAGAGGCGGCGGAATCACCATGGAGGAGTTGCGCGTGGCGTAAGACCGATCTCTCAGAGTGAGAGTGTCAATGTGCGGAAGACTGGAGCTAGAGTTGATGCGAAAAGTGAAGCAAAGGCCAGCTTCGAGTCTTCTAACCCACAAAAACTTACTGTTCGCCAGCTGACATCTCTCAGTATAAGAACTACTGGACGAAGCTTGAGAGAACAGTTTCCGGGTGAAAACCCTCTGAACATTTTCGATCTTATTACGGTCGCAGGCGTTCATTAAACCGAAGAAAGGACAGCAGTATTAAAGGACTGGAAGAACAAACATTTGATAAAGTCTTAGCTTCATTTCTTGAAGGAAAAAATTATGCGATATGAATCCACATATCTGCGCGGCTTTGGCCGAGAATCTATCCCTTAAGGAGCTAATAGTAACATCCCTTTCGATAAAACCCTGCATAGTAGTTGTGCTTACGTCTTTATTAAGGCCAAGGTCAAGGTCAAGCCGCTGGTTTTAAATTTGAAGATAAGTGGAGGATATTATTTTTAGTGGTTTTTCTGTGAGATCTAACGATTTTAGTACCCGTTTTTTTTGGTTGAATTTCCTTAAATACAGGCCTTTTCTCTAAGA